ACCTCTATGAGGTTTTTTTCTCAAATAACATCTCTTATTAGGTCTTTTTCTCAAATGACACCTCTATTAGGTCTTTTTCTCAAATAACATCTGTTTTAGGTCTTTTTCTCAAATAACCATGATAACACCTCTATTAGGCCTTTTTCTCAAATAACATCTCTATTAGGTCTTTTTCTCAAATAACACCTCTATTAGGCCTTTTTCTCAAATGACACCTCTATTAGGTCTTTTTCTCAAATGACACCTCTATAAGGTCTTTTTCTCAAATGACACCTCCATTAGGCCTTTTTCTTAAATGACACCTCTAATAGGTCTTTTTCCCAAATAACACCTCTATTAGGCCTTTTTCTCAAATGACACCTCTATTAGGTCTGTTTCTCAAATGACACCTCTATTAGGTCTTTTTCTCAAATAACATCTCTATTAGGTCTTTTTCTCAAATAACACCTCTATTAGGCCTTTTTCTCAAATGACACCTCTATGAGGTTTTTTTCTCAAATAACATCTGTTTTAGGTCTTTTTCTCAAATAACCATGATAACACCTCTATTAGGCCTTTTTCTCAAATAACATCTCTATTAGGTCTTTTTCTCAAATAACACCTCTATTAGGCCTTTTTCTCAAATGACACCTCTATTAGGTCTTTTTCTCAAATGACACCTCTATAAGGTCTTTTTCTCAAATGACACCTCCATTAGGTCTTTTTCACAAATAACACCTCTATTAGGTCTTTTTCTCAAATGACATCTCTATTAGGCCTTTTTCTCAAATGACACCTCTATTAGGCCTTTTTCTCAAATGACACCTCTATTAGGCCTTTTTCTCAAATGACACCTCTAATAGGTCTTTTTCCCAAATAACACCTCTATTAGGCCTTTTTCTCAAATGACACCTCTATTAGGTCTTTTTCTCAAATGACACCTCCAATAAGCCTTTTTCTCAAATGACACCTCTATTAGGCCTTTTGCTCAAATAACACCTCTATTATCCATCTATGTGGGGGCACCCTGGAGACATTAGCTGTTGTCTAATTCAGATAACTAAACAAATATGTAAGGAACTTACTGGTACTGATAATTATTTTTATTGCTCATGTTTATATTTTTCACTTTCACATACAGACTATAACTCAAACATGGTTCATTTGAATGAACTTCATTTAACTTGCACCAATGTTGCACCAGGTGAATCGTGACATGAAAACCTAGTTGCACCAGACAAAGCCAGGTTGCACCCTGGTCCCATAAATTTATCAAAGTTGAAACATAGATGCACAAACCTGTCTAAATAAGTAAAACGTCAGACCTCAGAAGACTGGGTCATGAATACACATACCACAGGGATTAGTTGGTTGGTTGGTTGGTTGGTTTGGTCATTTTTAGCTCACCTGACCTAAAGTTTGTTTGTTTGTATGTTGTTTAACGCCACACTCAGCAATATCACAGCTATATGACAGCGGTCTGTAAATAATCGAGTCTGGACCAGACAATCCAGTGATTGACATCATGAGCATCGATCCACGTAATTGGGATAGATGACATTCATCAACCAAGTCAGCGAGTCTGACCACCCGATCCCGTTAGTCGCCTTTTACGACAAGCATAGTCGCCTTTAACAGTCAGCATGGGTTGCTGAAGACACAGGGATTAGTGATGGAGTATGGTAAATGTATCATAGAGGTACTGAGCGTGTTCAAAGACTGATGTTGTGAAGGGTTAATCAGACACAAATTTAAAACTATATTTTACATACACATGTGCATGTAGACATAAATATTAGGTTGCATTTTCAATAATAGGTTGCACTGGTGCATGTTTTATATAGCTAAGTCAAACCCTGATATACATTTCACTTTCCAATATCATATTTCACAAATTTAAAGTCCAGTGAAATGAGATACTATGTCTGCATACTCAGTTGGTGTCTTTCTGCCACAAATTAACTTGATCAGGCCATTTTGCTATCATAATGGTAATATGACCAGATGAGGACATTTATAGACATCACAAGATGACATTAATCATGTATGATTTAACTATGAACATATACAGAAAAATGTTCATGTCACCTGTTATAAACTGGTCCACTAGCCTATATCAAAGTCTAGTTTCTATACACTAGTGGTTAAAGCGTTCGCCTGTCACGCCGAAGACCCGGGTTCGATTCCCGACATGGGCACAATGTGTGAAGCCCATTTCTGGTGTCCCCCGCCGTGATATTGCTGGAATATTGCTAAAAGCGGCGTAAAACCATACTCACTCACTCACTATACACTAGGCTTTGATATACCGTATTCGACGTAATAAGCGCCCCTCTCTCATAAGCGCCCACGGCGATATTTGCTAATACATTGTCTAGCAAACAATCCCAATTAGCACCCCTTCCGATTAATCAATGTACACAAGACTTATTTTTTCGCGTATAATACGCACTCGTGTGCTATATGCACCCTTATCATGGGCAATTAAATTCTAGAAAAATATATCCGTCATATATAAACATTTCAGGCTGTCAGCATAAACCACAAAATTTATCTTTCAACTCTGTTTTTTTCACCAATATAATATTCTAATAAGAGCCCCCTATTTCTAATTTTGAGAACGCCCTGGGCGCTTATTACGTCAAATACGGTAAGTTAGAGGACACCCTTGCCTCTGGAAGATTGTATTGAACATGCAGATGAGAGGACACTGACTGTACTGAGGTGAACCTGAGAGGAGGTCACTTAATGGGACAGACTGTAACGAGAGATTGTGTGATCAGTGACGCTAAAGCTGCGATAGCAGTGAGCAGAGCTCCAGATAACTTTTTGAGCAATTGTTTTTACTCTAGGGTTTCTATTTTGATTGGGTTCTTAGATATTTTATTGGGTAACCAAAATGTTTTCACTCATCTATTCGGGGTGGTCGGGTAGCCTAGTGGTTAAAGCGTTCGCTCGTCACGCTGAAGACCCGGGTTCGATTCCCGCCATGGGTACAATGTGTGAAGCCCATTTCTGGTGTCCCCTGACGTGATATTGCTGGAATATTTACTAAAAGCGACGTAAAACCATACTCACTCACTCACTCATCTATTCATCACTCTATTGGTTTTTTTCCCAAAATAAGTGAACATTTTAAGATTTTAAAAAAAAGAGAAATAATGTTTTTGATGTACCGAACTGTTCTAAACATATAGACTTGACTCGGAAAGTAAATTAGCTCGTAATTGTGTTTCGGAAATTACCTCCTTTGTTCACATGCTGAAAAAGCTTCATTGGGTATTTATGAAAGCTGTTTTTATAATTTGAGTTTTTCATTTAATGGTTGCGTTTCTGTACGCAAGTTAATTTAAAGTAATTGGGTTTTGAATATTTGTCGGGGGGGGGGAGGGGGGGTATTTTAAGCAAATATGCTGCTTATCTGTAGCTCTGAGTGAGTGAGTGAGTTCGGTTTAATGCCGCTTTTAACATTATTCCAGTTATATCACAGTTTGTCAGCTTAATGTGGGAGGAAAGTCCACAGTGATGCAGGCCTCAGACGTTTACCACTTCACTGAAACCTAGAGCACGGGTATGGTTCTGACAAACCTAGAAACATAATCGGGGCGAACCCAGCTCCTGGTGAGGTTTACCAACAAATGGATGGATGGATGGATGGATTGTTGTGTGCATGCATATATATGTATATGCATGTGTGGTGGGGCGTGTGTGGCGTGTGTGTGGCGTATGTGTCTCTGTGTGTGTGTGTGTGTGGCGTGTGTGTGTGTGTGTGTGTGTGTGTGTGTGTGTGTCTCTGTGTGTGTGTGTGTGTGTGGCATGTGTGTCTGTGTCTGTGGCATGTGTGTCTGTGTGTGTGTGGCGTATGTGTCTGTGTGTGTGGCGTGTCTGTCTGTGTGTGTGCGTGTGTGTCTGTGTGTAGCGTGTGTGTCTGTGTGTGTGTGTGTGTGTGGTGTGTGTGTGGCGTCTGTGTGTGTGGCGTCTGTGTGTGTGTGTGTGGCGTGTGTGTCTGTGTGTGTGTGTGTGGCGTCTGTGTGTGTGTGTGTGTGAGTGTGAGAGCGTGCGTGCATATATGTGCACGTGTGTGTATGTGTATGTTGTTTTGTTTTTTTATTGGGGGGGGCTGGGGTTTACTCTATATTTTTCTTTGTGTCTAGGTTGCTGCCAATCACTGCAGGGTGTGAAGAACAAATCTTCTTTAATGTAGCACAACCTATGTATGTACATGCAGATCATGAAGGGGGATGGGCGGGGTCAAACAAGACTCCAGCTCCACGCAGGGTGTTTAGGTCACGCTGAACCAGCTCTGTCACAAATTGATAACATTTCCCTGTCCCCTTTGTTTACCCACAAACACACTGCCCTACTGTCCGACATTGATTCAAATGGGATGCAGTGAATTCATATGCATTGCCAAATAGTAGACACAGCCAACTCGTAGACACAATTTACAGTGAATTCATAGAAAAAACGGGAGTGAATTTGTAGACATTTTTTTTCATATTAGAACTGTATAAATAATATTAATACTTTAATAGCAGAAAATAAGATAAAAGACTATATAAACATATGACACAAGATAACCATGATAACTGTCAAATCTTGCATTTTGGACTGGTGAATAATATATCACATACTTAATGTTATTTTAAAATCTGAAATACATTTACAAATTCAATATTACCTAATACATTAATAAATCAATATTCAAGTCCATTTCCCAAATTTTTTGCTTTGTTAATTTTGTTTACAAGTGTCTACAGATTCTCCATGGCTAAGAATTAATTTGGTTGCAATCCAGTTCAACTCAGCCATTAAATATAGAATACCTTTTTATGGTAACATATGTTTTTGTTCTGTTGTAAATTTGTCATCCAGTTCTGTAGTAATACAGTTTTCAGGTAAACAGTGAAGACTTATTTATTTACTTATACATTGAATAGGGACGTTATATGTATTGTTCAAACAGTTCATATTCCCAGCTGGTTGAAAAGATATATATATAGTTACTGTAATGTACTTACTTTGAGTTCTTTTGCACGCGAAGGCTTGGCATGCTTACGACAATATCTGTGAAGTGATCGCCGATAGGATTATCGGCTGATTAGAGCTGATTAGAGTTCAAATTCACGGATAACTGTGTTCTGGATAGACACACTGTTTAGGTACATCCTACATTGTCTGCAAAACAGGGTCGTTATACACACGTGACCCCATGCGTTGGTTTACAGGTAACAAAACGAGTGTGTCACCTGACATGAAAGTTCAACTTCCTCGTCATGTTGTCCTTCACTATACCGCGCCCTAAAACGGGGGATTGTTTTTGAGATTATTCATTCCTGTTTTTTTAGCTGTTCCGTTGTAGCGAACATGTGATTGATAATTGGATAAATTCATCGGGATGAATTATCATATGGAAATAAAAATAAGCATGATAACAGAGACTATATAATAATAATAATCTATCGTATGGTCTCTGATGATAACGACACATTTCGATCAACTAGTGGTGTACGTATTTTTTCAATAACTATCCCTCAACAATATTCCAGCAAAATAACGGCTGTCTGTAATCCACGCAATTGAGACACGATGACATCTATCAACCAATTTAAGTCAGCGAGCCTGACCGCCCGATCCCGTTAGTCGCCTCTTACGACAGGCTTAGCTGCCTTTTACGGCAAGCATGGGTTGCTGAAGACCTATTCTACCCCAGAACCTTCACGGGTCTTTTGGTATCCATAAAATAGCTTAGATAATGTGCATGATGGCTCTGGTTCTTGCTGATGGTTTGGTATCATCACCCATATGGGCTCAAATATGCAGTTAATAACTTTTTAATATTTGCACATTGTGCAATTAGTGATTCTCGAAGATGATTGGTCAGTTGAACAAAGATCAATTTTCATTGGACAACGGAACTATTTTTTTCCGTAATCACTCGTACCTCGTGGGTTATTCTATAATGATTGCTAGGGACTGGTCACTCATTTGGGAAAGGAAAGGGGGGGGGGGAGGTGTCACACGACTATATTAGCACAGGTTCTTTTCTGACCCGGAATCCAAACTAAAAACCATACTTGTAATTAATCTGCAAGAGTACATTAACATTGCCATCTACACTGTTATGTTTGTTTGGTTGGGTTTTTTAAACTCCGCACTCGGCAATATTCCGGTAGTCTGTAAATAATCGAGTCTGGTCCAGATAATCCAGTGATTAGAATCACGAGCATCGATCCATACGCAATTGGGATACGATGACATGCATCAACCAAGTCAGCGAGCCTGACCACCCAATCCCGAAAGTCGCCTTTTACCACAAACATGAGTTGCTGAAGACCAATTCTAACCCGGATCTTCACGGGACCTGTCTACACTGTATAAACCCACGGAAAGGTCACTATAAGAATCTATTAAACAAGATCTTAAATACATAATCTATAAAAGATACAACAAAATCGTATATTTGTCAAATCTTGTTAATAATTTAAAAAAAGCAAAAACAGTATCGGTTTCTCAAATATAACCAGCATGCAATGCAGAAAGATATTGTTTTTGACACATGGGATATAATAGAAAAGTTATTTATTATTCGAGATACCGTATTCGACGTAATAAGCGCCCCGCTCTAATAAGCGCCCACGGCGATTTTTGCTAATATATTGGCCAGTGAACAATCCCAATTAGCACCTCTTCCAAGTGATCAATGTACACAAGACTTATTTATCCGTGTATAATACGCACTCGTGTGTTATATGTACCCCATATCATGGGCAATTAAATTCTGGAAAAATATATCTGTCGTGTCTAATACGCACAGACTTTTCTTTTGTATCATTTCAGGCTGTCAGCATAAATCACGAAATTTACGATCTTTTAACTCTTTTTTTTCACCAAAATTGTATTCCAATAAGAGTCCCCTATTTCTAATTTTGAGAGCGCCCTGGGCGCTTATTATGTCGAATACGGTACCTAACATATGTCACTAGGACATATGGTCTAAATTGCCTGTGCTTAATAGCTTCACACCTGCACAGCTGCGTTCGCACACCTGTTCACCTGTCTGGCTGACATTGTGGCCGTATTATAAGCAATAACATGCACCAGTCTCTCTTTGTAAACTGTCTGGTGTCACATACTTAACCTGGCCTAATCCATAGTAAATTATCAATTAAATATGTATTAATCGAACAAATGGAAATCGTGATTACAAAAAAATACTTTGTCATTTTTAACTCACCTGACTAAAAGTTTGTTTGTTTGTTTGTTTGTTTGTTTGTTTGTTTGTTTGTTGTTTAACGCCGCACTCAGCAATATTCCAGCTTTATGACGGCGGTCTGTAAATAATCTAGTCTGGACCAGACAATCCAGTGATTGACTTCATGAGCATTGATCCACGCAATTGGGACACGATGACATGCATCAACCAAGTCAGCGAGCCTGATCACCCGACCCCGTTAGTCGCCTCTTACGACAAGCAAAGTCGTCTTTTAGGGCAAGCATGCCATGGGTTGCTGAAGACCTATTCTACCCCGGATCTTCACGGTTCTTGCCCCAGGGGAATATGGGTACGTAAAGTTACTGATTATGATATCGCAATACTTTTTCAAGCGTAAACCTATTACAATGATATAGCAATATAACTTTTAACCATCGCAGTTCTTACAATGTTTCAAGGTCAATATTCAGGTGTCATTTGAGCAGACTGGCAGCATCCTTGTCTGCATCACTTCAGTGATAGCAACATGTTGACTTCTAAGAGTCAATTCTCCTCAAAAGCAACATATAACTGCTTTGTCAAATGCATGCAAATATACCGAAAATAACGATTCTAATATAATCGGGTTGTCACCTGATTTTCAGTATCTGCGAGAATTGGTCCTCAGTAACCTATGTTTGTAATAAGAAGGCAAACGGGATCAGTTGGTCACCTATTCTATTCCGGATCTTCACGGGTCTTAAAGTAATAGGGGCGGTCGGGTAGCCTAGTGGTTAAAGCGTTCGCTCGTCACGCCGAAGACCCGGGTTCGATTCCCGACATGGGTACAATGTGTGAAGCCCATTTCTGGTGTCCCCCGCCGTGATATTGCTGGAATATTGCTAAAAGCGGCGTAAAACTATACTCACTCACTCACTCACTTAAAGTAATATGTCATGGCTTGTTTGTCCGACGTCAGCCGTCCATTGCCTACCGTAGACATCTCAGTTACCAATGGACCAATGAAGCTGAAATTTTACTTGCGTATTTCCACCAATGATGGCAACCCAATTCAATTTTCAATCCAGCTGCTTCGGCAATTTTTGAAACACCTATTTATTACTCTTATCAGACCAAATGTAATAACATATACAATTGATAGTTTATCATATCACTATAAACTGTTGGATCATTAAAACAGTAATGAATATATATGGAATATATATATATATGAATATCACTTAATAATAATGTTCTGCAATGAAAATGGATATTAACTTTGTCAAAACATTAATAAGCCTAAAAAAAACAGCGAAGAAAGCGTTCCATTAATATTTATTGACGAATAAACACTTTTGCAATTACGTATTTTTACGGTGACACGAACATAATTTTGGAAACAACAGACTGATTGTTTCGGTGCTTTTTGGAGTGGAGGTTATTTTGTGTGGTATGTTTTTAATCACAATTTGTGTGAAATCATATACAAACATCACATTGTCATATTGTTGTCAAGGCGACACTCAGACATGACTCACAGGCAGCTCTTTGACTGCAGCATGTACATATGAAGATCCAGGGTAGAACAGGTCTTCAGCAACCCATGCTTGCTGTAAAAGGCGACTATTCTTGTCGTAAGAGGCGACTAACGGGATCGGGTGGTCAGACTCGCTGACTTGGCTGAAGCATGTCATCGATCCCAATTGCGTGAATCGATGCTCATGATATCAATCACTGGATTATCTGGTCCAGACTCGATTATTTACAGACCGCCGTCATATAGCTGGAATATTGCTGAGTGGGGCGTTAAATAAACAAAAACAACCAAACCCACATAATCGAAACTGGATCAGACAATCCAGTGATCTCATGGTTAGCAATGATCAACATCGTCTGGATATTCAGCAGTTTTGCCATGTTACTGTATTTCTTTCCCACAGTATATTTCGTGATCAACAGTGATACTAGCACGTTACTTCTATTTGTAGTACGATGCTGAATTCATTTTTATCACGATCAAACATAGTCCTTTCCAAAAAAAATAACTACACAGCAGTCATGTTTATTTGTTTGTTGTGCAACAGCTCAGTTTTTATAAAATCTGAACCGGTGATTGATATTTTGACAATGTCCCACGCCTATAGGGTCTCCTACGACCAGCAATGGTTGCTATGAACCTTTTGTAACCAAGCACCCTCGCGAAAGAAACACGGTGAGTGAGTGAATTGGGTTTAATGCCGCTTTGATCAGTATTCTAATTATATCATTGCGTGTCAGCTTAAGATGGAAGGAAAGCCTGAAGTGATGCAGGTCTCAGAAGTTTATCACTTTGAGCACGGGTATTGTTCTGACAGACCTAGAAACATAATCGTGACGATCCAGGATTCGAACCCACGACCATAGGGTTCTGGGGTGCCCAAGGGAGGCAACCCTGCAGCGTGAATTGGGGCGCCTTAGACGACTGGGCCACCCGGGCCCCCCTAAGGACGGACACATGGACGATGCCCATGCTATCATAACGTCATGCTGCATGAGTAGTGTGTTATTCTCTCTCTCTTTCTCTCTCTCTCTCTCTCTCAAACACACACACACACACACACACACACACACACACACACTCTCTCTCTCTCTCTCTCTCTCTCTCTCTCTCTCTCTCAAACACACACACACACACACACACACACACTCAAAACCAATACGACAACAGAGTTGTAAATACTTTTGCACGCTGTGTGTATGTGTCAAGCAGGACATAACCGTCATCTCCCAGGTGCTTTGTCACGGGGTAATTAGTTTACAATATAGACCCAATATTGACCTTTACCATTCAAGATCGTCTGATTTATAAATCAACATTAACACGGAGTTTTTATTGCAATTTAATGTTTATACTGAATAAGTGTCCGAATTAAAGAGTCATGTGCTAGTTTAAATATAGCTATATATAGACGTAATAATAATAGTCCGGTAAGCAGGATTTCCGGACTTACAGGGTTTCCCTGTTTATGTATACGGTTCTTAATTGTTCCTTTTAGAGACACCAGAACACACGTTTAATTGAATA